TATATATATATATATATATATATATATATATATATATATATATATATATATAGTCATATAACTATTGACTAAGAGGGTAAGCACGTGAGAAGAAATAAAATGAGTGAAGAAAAGAAAAATGAAAGGACAGACAGGCAAAGAGACAGACAAACCAGAATGACACAAAACAATGTCCTCTTATTCTTTGTTTCACAGTATTATTATTTCTTTCAGTGTTTCACAAAAACATTTACACTGAATCAAAGGATAAGAATAAAAAACAAAGACACATTGAAATCATTCAGTTTCTCAGTCTTCTTAACGCCTTCTCCACTATGCCTCTAATGTACAAGGCTCGCCACGTTGATGAAGTTGAGTGCGAGCTGCCCCCATCCCCGTATGCCATAACAGCCCACTTGCACGCTATGGGAAAGAGCAGGAAGAGGTGTTAAACACAAGGAAGAGAGGAGCAGAAGCAGAGGGAGAAAAAACAAAAAAAGTGACCCAAACATCTTCTTTCTTTCACTGCATTCTTCTTTCTTTCACAGTTTTGCAGTTTTGGTGAAGAGTCTACCACGTTCGCTTTTCAGCGCACCTGCACTTCCTTCTTCATTTCTCATGTTCATTTCCACTCTTCAGACTTTTCTTTTGAGGGTGTTAGGGTGCAGGGTACAAACAAAGTAAGATGACACAAACTTATGTTCTTCTTTTACTGCATTGTTCACAGTTTTGCAGTTTTAGTGAAGGGTTCCCCACCTTTGCACATTCTTGTACACTCTTTTCAGCACACCTGCACATTTTTGTCAGGGTGCAAGGTACGCCTAAGTAAGACCCTCACTACAGATAGGACAACTGTCATAAGGATGCGGGCGATGGTAGCAGCCCTCCCGCTGATCTACAGGACGAATACCATTTAGGTAAGCAACTTCGTCACAGCAGGAGTCAGGGAGGCTAGCATTAACAATACCTCTGAAGCATGCACGAAAGGGGGCATGGCGGTTGCAGGCCATGATGATTGTGGGGTGTTCACCATCACAGTTAAGTGCACATTCACTATAGCGCCCGCAGGCACAGATGGGACATACTGCATCTAGATGTAGGGGATGTTCACAATCCGGATACAAGTGGCATCCCTGTCGACAGCGGACCCGAAAAATTATACGGTTGTAGTGATGTCGACAAAGTCGATGCTTTCCACAACCAAGTTTAACTGTGTCAGTGATCTCACAAAGRAGGAGGTCACAAGGTGTTAGTGAAGCATGTGGGGGAATGAAGACTAAAGCAGGCACGGTGACAGACATGGAGGTACGCACGGAGACAGACACAGAAACAGGCATGGAGACAGGTGTAGAGGCAGGCACAGAGACAGGTGCAGAGGTGGGGACAAAAGTACACGTAGTACCTACAAAGTCAGTCATATGGAAGGAGACAGACACAGAAACAGGCACAGAGACAGGTACGGAGGCAGGCACAGAGATAGGCGTAGAGGCGGGCATGGAAGTACACGAGTTACCCATAGGGTCAATGACCTGAAACAGTTGTAGGTTAGGGTAATTACGCACGAGATCACAAATGCCAATAATAGTTTGCACCATAGCACCGCCATTCCATAATTCCCAAGAACCAGAGGCACGGACAAGAGCGGTGTAGTGGCCAGGAGTATGTAGAATATAGGCACAAACGTGCAAACAGTGGTCCGGGTCGCCACCCGAAGGGGCACGCTGCATATCAAGCCGGCGCCTTATCAAAGCAGTCTCCAAAACAGAGACATTGAATCCCCATGTCGAGTGTAATTACTATCCTGTGGGGGATGCAGAGCCGGGTTATCGCCATATAACTCAAGTTCCTAAGCATCAAGATCGGAAGCAATGGCCAAGAAATCAGGGTGAGTATATGGTTCCCGACGATAGGCTTGCAGGCAGATGTTAGTAGCAGCGAGACCACACAGATTCGGTGGAGGCCAGTCAGGCGGATTTTCTACAGAATCTCCTACAGTCCCCTTGCCAAGTTCATCCTCGGATAGCCCCTCGCCGTCATCCCTCCTGTTTTATGTTTGCCGCGTTGCAGAAAGGTTTGCAGTCGAAGAGCGTTGCAGACGTGGTAAGGATGCTTGGGGCGGCAAAAGACGAGGACGGGATGTTGGGGAGGGCCGTGGTGAGGAGAATGAACGGGTTCTTCTTCGTCCAAGAATAGAGATGGAGGAAAGGGGAGTAAGCTGAGGTTGGGAAGTAGGTCGAAGTCGGCGTCTAGGACGGCGAAGTAGGCTTTCTGCAGGGGCAGAACATGATGACGGAGTCTGTGTGGACGAAGTAGTGTGTGGATTAGGAAGAGGGGTAACGGATGGAGACAAAACCAGGGGAGGTAGGAGTGGTGAAGACAGGGGTGGTAGAGTTGTCGGAAGGTGGGTAACAGACGGCGACACAACCAGGGGAAATATAGGTGGTGAAGACGGGGGGGATGAAGTCAGGGGTGGTGAAGTGGCTGAAGCAGAGACAAGGGGGGCAGTCGTAGGTGAGACTTGAAGAGGGAACTCTGCAGGTGGTAATGCAGGCATGGCCACAGATGCCACGGAGGAACGCACCGAGACCAAGGGCGACAAAGCAACTGCGGTGGTCACGGATGCCATGGAGGAACACACCGAGACCAAGGGCGACACAACAGCTGCGGTGGCACCGGATGCCATGGAGGAACACACTGAGACCAAGGGCGACACAACAGCTACGGGTCGAGTTGCTCCCGCGGAATCAATCGTAGAAGCAACCAAGGCCGATAAGGAAGAGGCTGCGAACCGAAAAGGAGCAGCCAGGGTCACAAACAACATGGAAGGGGTTACTAAGACTGATGAGGACGCAGGTGCGGTAGACGCAAGTAATGAAGAAGAGGTTGTGATAGGTGTGACAGGTGCCGATAATGAAGAAGGGGTTGTGACAGGCGTAGTTCGAGGACAGTGTGTGGATACCCGAGAAAGCGGGTGATGAATAGACCATCGAAGCATGTTGTGGAACCAGCTGGAGAGGCGGGTCACGTGCGCAGGGTACATGTGTTGACGTTTACGAATATAGGAAGTCCATCCTTTTGCAAGCGTTGTTGGAGAGTGCCCGCGAAAAAGCATGCGGCGTGTGAGCATCGCTGCTGCAGTTTTGAAATCATACCTGTTGTTGCAGACATACTCAAACCTAGTAAGCTGACCTGTAAACACTCCCGTCGGCTGGTGTGCAGGGACGTTAGACGTAGCACTAGGATAACGAATAACAGGGAAATTCCATTCGGCTGCTTTGTCAAAGACACTCATATGCACCTAAGAATGTGCAAGAGCCATCAGGTGTTGTGGTCTCCTTCCATTCGAGGCCATAGTGTTATGACGGTGGTGGCAGATGTCCCCATGAGAGAACATCATCGATCAAGCGGTATGTGAACGCATACCGTTGAGCTGCTCGAAGATCACACTACTGGAGGTCATCAACAAATCGAGCCTCATCCCAATACAATGTCAAATTAGCTATCTCCGGACCAGAATTAGTCCCCATCGGGATGCCAATCAGCTAATGTCGCAAGGTGTCGTCCGCTGCATAAAGATACGTGTTTGTCACAATGAAATGGAGATGTTCAAGAATTTGGGAAACGGTCAAGGTGTTTGGTCCGGTATCAACCGTCCACTCCCCTTGACGGGGCCCTTTAACAATCATGTTAAGGGTAGGAGGATGTGTGCGCCCCTGTGCGTGTTGTTGTAAGGCATATGTATAGGCTTCCTCAACCGCTTTTGATACATTATGACAAATACGGTCATGAGGAAGATTGGTATACGTAGTTGTGAAATCAACTGTGCGAGGAGCATGGTTACGAAGAGAAGAGGAATTACGTTTGAGATCAAGCATCACCTCCTCAGCGCTTTGCACGATCCAGCACCGTCTCACACGGCTTTGCTGATACAACACATTATCCTTCTCACGGAGAGTTTCAATGACTCCTTGTAGTGCAACGCTGAGGCGGGCAGAAGCGACGGTAGTACTCGCCAAGGGTTTGTGGGGAGGTCGATGGTGGACTGCATGAACAGATGGCGCAGCTGATTGAGATCGCTGCGGCAGGGAGAGATTATTCCGCTCCGTGACGCCGACAATACTGCGAAGCCCAGGGGGCGATTTGTGCACTTTAAGTGCATAGTACAGATATGGCAGCGTGTCTTTGTGTGTATATCCCCACCGATGATTCCAGAGTGCGTGATGTTCCAGGATATCTGTGACAGACTCAAGAGGCACATCATAGGTAGGGCTGTCCAAATGAGCACATAGATGAGACAGGTACCAATGTTTACAACAGATTGCCAAGTTATGTGAGGTCTTGTCGACAGGAACAATAGCAAAGTGTTGTTGAAGGTGTCTCAAAGCCATGTGCACCGCGTGAAGGGAGTGCGGTTGTCGTGTGGTAGTGTGGGGGGATGAGATGTTGCTTTGGCAACTTGTGAGAACGGCTGAGCGCCACTGCTGCAATTTGTTCAGAGTGGCCGGCCGAAGCTGCTCGGAGACCGACCTCAAGTATTTAGCAATATACTCGTCAAGGCCGACTCGAACAGCCTGAAGCACATCAGCGATTTGTCCATTAAGACGATACTTCGAGCCTTCATGGAACAAGTCGCTGAGGCGCTCATCAGGAATGATGTCGCAGTCGGTTGTAACAACATGGTCGTCGACTAAGTGGGAGTAGTTAGGAAACACTTTTCGACATTGACAGTTTGAGGGGCCAGGCATGGAGATCCCAGGTGTGACGCTGAGCGCAACTTCCGTGAAATTAGAGAATTGGACGCGAGTTGGCGGCAACAACTTATCACAGATACGCAGATGTGCTGCGTCATCAGGGTCAGGGTGCAAGTGGAGCACCTGGGGTGCATGCAAGGCTTGTCGCAACCCCCTTACCTGAGACACCTCGTGCATGTGCACAACTTTAATATGATAAAGGAAGGCATCTCGAGACTGAGCTGTGTACCGCTGGCGGACATGTTGATACTTCCGAATCAGGCATTCAAGCTGACGACGAGTCCCGCTTGGGACTTCAGCCCCCCCAGTGCGTCGGTTCGCGTGCGGGTCCGATAGTGGCGTGAGACCGTGCGTGCCTCCCATGCTACAGCGAACGAGAAACGCCCTCGACTGGTCCACCTCTACGATTGCAACTGATTAGCTTTCGTATTGTGGACTAGTAGCTCGGCGGGGATACACCCACCGAAGGGAGGTAACTACTCCCGTAAGGTGGAGGTAAGCCGTGCCTCGCGTTGGCCCTATCGTGTCGTAGGGGCTCGCGAGAGGTATGGATGGCGCACTCGGCCGGAGCGGCTTGCGGAAGCTCCATGTGCATTGCGATGAGGAAGAGACCAACTCCTGCGTGACGCGGTCGGGAGGGTCCCGCACTGCGCGGGACCAATGCGCTCCACAACGGGAGGAGTACCCGAAACCCTGGTGCACTGCCTACTGCAATGCCTTGAAGCGGAATACCTATGGACAGTCGCTCGAACACTGTGGACGCGTATTATAGCGGCCCCCTTCCCACAACACAGGAGATCGATACTGATAGAAAGTGAAGTACCCAAGGGGTGGCAGTCCAGCCAGAAATACATCTTCCAATTACTAAGGTAGTACACATTATGGACTATCTGGAAACGGAGATGCCAACAGGTGATTGGGAAGACACCAATGGCCAGAGTAGAGGCCAAGGCAACACTCTACAATCTATTGGAGACGAAGATCAGAGCCCAATGGCAAAGGACAAAAAGGCAGGCATCATTAAGCCCAGAAAAGACGAAGGATCTCTTCATTAAATTCCAGAATAAGATATTGGCCAAGGGCAAAGTAGCTACTATCGAAGGAGTTAGGATGGTCTTCCATTGGTTCCAAGAGGGACAACAAGGGATACCCATGGGGGATCCGTCGGCTACCCTGGATCTTAGGCTACCATAGAAAAGGGAGGGGGAGCGTTGGAGGGTTTAGGGTTTAGGGCTTAGTCATCTCGTAAGGCAGGGAAATATACATATATATTGTCACATAACTATTGACTAAGAGCATGAGCACGTGAAGTTTATATATATATATATATAAAAGAAAGACTGGCACAACTCAGAAGCAGGGAGGAGAAGGCAAAGTTCCCAGCCAACGGAAGGACTAGCTTCATCACAGGTCACATAATGTTGGAGGGCGTAATCCGATTTTGCATTTTCAGTGGCTTCTTTTACCTTTCTTGCTTTTTATCATTTATCTAACAGGTCATGCAGTAGACCTGATAGGAAAGGAGGAAGTAAGGCAAGCTGACAGTCAATCCTCCATGATGTTGGAGTAATCAATGCTGGTCAGGGATCCTTCGGCCGGACGGAAGGAAGCGTGAGTGGGTTTCATAATGTAATGTTTTATTCTGACTTGCCGGTGGAATAGGAACCGGACTGATGCTCCCCAGAATGGAAATGGAGTCGGGACCATAAGGACCTGTTTTATTTTAAAAAAAAAAAAAAAAAAAAAAAAAACACAAATTTTCTTTCCAAGCAGAAAATTTGAAAAATACTCAAAGCAGAACAAGCATATACGAGCAATGTTGAAAGAGGGGAATTACAAGTCTATCGCTCTGTACTTTATCAGCCACAGGACCTCCTCCGTGCAAGCACGGATTCGAACCGACGCCCTCAGCCTCAAGAGCCGAGTCTCTTAACCACTACAGTCATGACACGGTGTAAAAAGTGGATCCATGCCGGTCGTGATATCCACCCCACCCCTGCATGGCTGTAGTGTCCTTCAACTCGCACACACACACACACCACCACACAAGGCATCCGCCACACAAGCAGTAGTCGCACACTCCGCTCTCATCCAGCACAACTGCTTATCCAACGGTTTTATCCACGGGCCACCACATCCAGGTATAATTTCCGGGCTGGTTACCCGGTTGAAGTACAGTCTGTACTTTATCAGCCACAGGACATCCTCCGTGCAAGCACGGATTCGAACCGGCGCCTTCAGCCTCAAGAGCCGAGTCTCTTAACCACAACAACCATGACACAAGGCCAAGAGCACACCGATACTGAAGTCTCTTGATAAAGAAGGCTCAACTTCTCACCTCCACTCTTCAATACAACGACAATGTAGCAGCTCCACTATGATGTGACTGCCTATACTACTCTCCTACTCTCTCTCTCTCTCTCTCTCTCTCTCTCTCTCTCTCTCTCTCTCTCTCTCTCTCTCTCTCTCTCTCTCTCTCTCTCTCCTAAGAATGATGCAGAGTTTGACCACCACAAGTGTGCTCTTTGATCATCGCCAGGTAAGTCCGCCTGTTCCCACTGCTGTCCTTCTCCCGTGATCAACCCAGCTCCAGCGCCTCCCTTCTCCCACCTCAGCACAGCTATGGCTGCCATTGAGCGGAGCAGTTAACCAGTGGCTGTTGCTTCCCTTCTTTGTCAATAAGTGCTGGCGTCGCTGTGTGAGCTTACAACGATGCTAGCTCCAGAAGCCAGTGCCTCTGAATGTGTTGCAGCCTCCTTCCTTTTATTGCTTCCTGGAGGCCGTGGCTCCCTGGCGGGAACTGGGCTCTTCCCACACAGAGAACCTTCTGTGGTGAGTGCCAGGCCCCCAGCCTCTGGGACTAACTACCGTCTTCACCCGAATAGAACGGCCAGTCATTATCGCTGCATCTGGACTGAAAGTTGGGCCAAATGCAGCTATAATGACCGAGCGTTCTATTTAAGTGAAGACGGTAAGAGGCTAGTGCAATCAGACTCGCATACCTCGTCACTTCACATGCATACAAACAGATGGTGAATCACCCTGGCGCATAGCGCCCAACTCAAAGCTCGAAGATATGGATACCAAGACACAGTTTAGATGTAAGCTCGCTTCAACAGGCTATGGTGCATCAGCACCCACACATYGMAACTCTTGTCACTGTGTCCAACACCACTGTTCGCTTCACACTTCAAYTCCGGATCACCCTGGATACCCCACGCACACACAMTGTACACCCACTACACTAACAGCTATGGCAGCTATGGCCRCCACTAACACTACCCTACAAGCAGCTATGGCTGCGCTAACTCCTCCAGCCCACTTCGACTTCAGGCTCCTCTGCAGACCACCTYGCACAAGTYACCGTGGCAGCGCTTCCGCATGGCTTCCGCAGGAATGAATGAATGGCTGGGCGCTGCCTCTTGATTTAYACTTCTGCAGCTCGTTGGTCTGGCCCATTTCCCTTGCCCGAAGTGCACACAGTCCCATGCGGTACTTGCTTGACTGACTGGAGACTGGGACTGTTGACTCAGCACGGTAGACTTCCACCACTTGCCCACTTGCCTCACCACTTGACCACTTGCCTCTGCCTAAACGTGGGCAACTAYGAAAGGCCACTACTAGGACCTTCCGRAAGGCCGTAAGCTTGGCCTTTCGTGACTGTAGCAGCTACGACCCTGACCCTTCTGGACTGTAGCAGCTACGACCTTGACCTTTCGAGAATACTACAGCTACGACCACTAGACCTGACTATGACTCCTATCCGACAGGTCTACAGCTCGAACCCATGCTACCTACGGACCCTATGACAACCTATCGACTGTTAGACATACACAGGTTATGGGTTCAACTCTACGAAACTTCACCGGTACTGTACACAGGTAAGGTTGGGGTCTAGGGATCGAACCCTGGGATCTGCAGCAGCTACTGCTAACTGGTGAATACCATTTCATTCCCGCCGTCCTAAATTCGAGGTCCTCCGAGAATAATTCAATCTAAGGCAGGACCTTTTCCTCTCTGATCTCTCTCGTAGGCTCTAACAATGTCGGGAGCTGTTTCTAGAAGTTCTGACCTTGTGAACCAGCGGTCATCCTCCGGCTCCTGATACGCAAACTGGACCTTGTATTGTTTCTGAGGACGACCTCTACCTCCTGTCCTGAATACATCTTCATATACAATGCCGTCAATGTCATATCTTTCGTCCATGTCTGGAGGGATCATGGACTGTCTAGATGGAAACTCCTGGCTTGTAACACACGGCAACAACTTTGATGCGTGAAACACAGGGTAGGTGTGGAGGTGTGCTGGTATCTCTATCGTGTAGGACGGTCCATCTTCTCCGCCCTTTACTTCTAGAACTGGCCACGGTCCTCTATATGCAGGCAGTAACTTCTGTGAAATGTTCTCCTCAGGAACAAACTCTTTTGACTTGACCCAGACTAAGTCGCCTACTTGAAACTGTGACGGGCGACGGTGTTTATTGGCTTGCTCTATCATCCTATGTTGGGCCTTCCTGAGGTTCTGTATAACGGTAGCTAACTCTTTCCCGTGCTGTAACGCAAACTCCCTAGTACCGGGCGGTAGCCTCTGAATCTGATCCCGGTTAAGTCCGTCAAACGGTCTGCGCGGTCTAAAGGACTTATGTAACTCGTTGGGAGTGCGACACGTGGACAGGTGTACGCTGTTATTGTAGGCACTGGCTACCTTGGGGAGCATCTCATCCCAGTTGATTTGATCAGGTCTAACATACATACGCATAACTTGTTGCAGGACCTTATTCATCTGTTCAGTCTGATCGTTGGTCTCTGGATGACGGCCAGATGACATCAACAGCTTGGAACCGTATACTCTCACCAACTCCTGCCAGTTCTGACTAGTGAACCGGGTGTCTCTATCGCTAAGTATAGACAGCGGAATCCCGTGTTCACTGACCCAATGATCAAAGAACTTCTGCACTACTAACTCTGTACGTGCCTCAAAAGGGAAAGGAACAAAAACAACATATTTGCTAAAACAATCAACTATGACCATGACTTGGCTCTTGCCATGCCTACTCTTAACCTGAGATTCCATGAAGTCTATGGACACTGAGTCTCCAGGTTGATCAGGAATAGGCAAGGGTCTGAGAAAACCGAGGGGCGCGCACGTAGTAGTCTTATTCCTCTGGCACACTTTGCAACTGCGGACATACTCTATGCAGTCATTTTTCATCCCTGGCCAGATATACGCACGCATCAGATTGGCTAAAGTCTTTTGCCAACCAAAGTGTCCCTCTGTGTAATGGCACTCCCCTAAGATCAGACTACGGATCTCCTCACTGTTAGGAACGCATCGACGGTTCTCGAATAGCAAACCCTCGGTAGTGCGGTAATCTGGTTCAGTCTTTGGGGCCTCTTTAACTCTCTTTAAGAGGTCACTATAGATAGGGTCATGCGCATACGCTTGCCTCACTTTCTCCTGCAGGTCTCTCCCTATATCCAGATAGTGTACTATAGCCCCAAAGTAATCTAATCTTCTACTTAGAGCATCCACAACTACGTTATACTTGCCTTTGACTGGCTTGAGCTCAAAGTCGTATTGGTCTCTCTCTGCGGCCCACCTAGTCAACTTAGGTGTCATCTTGGCCCGCGTCTTCAACCACCTTAATGTCTCGTGGTCTGAATAGACTTTGAAGTGCCTCCCAAGCAAGTAGTGCTTCCAGTGTAGTGCTTGCCTGAGAGCGTAGAGTTCCCTCTCGTAGGTGGATGTCGCTACCTTCTCTGAAGGCATCCTCGCAGACATGAACTCTACGGGTCTATATCCATTGCCATCGTCTTGCTGTAGTACAACACCTATGCCATACTGGCTCGCGTCAGTGGTGACAACGAAAGGTAAGGACGGATCGGCGACCTTAAGGACTGGATACTCTATCAATGCCTGCTTCAACTTCTTCATGGCAGACGTGCAGTCCTTATCCCACTTCCAAATTGTTTCTTTCCTTAGCAATCTGCGAAGGGGTGCAGCGATGGTAGAGAAGTTTCTCACAAACTTCCTGTAGTAGTTCGCTAGGCCTAAAAACGATCGCAACTCTATCAGCGTGCGAGGTGTAGGCCAATCTCTAATCGCTGCGATTTTGCTATCCTCTGGCTTAATGCCGTCTCCGTCCAAGACGTGGCCTAAGTACAAAACTTGGGTCTTTGCCCACTCGCACTTCTTGGGGTTGATCTTGAAGTTAGCCTCTCTCAGCTTCTCCAAGACCTGCTTGAGATGACCCTGGTGCTCTTGGAGGGTCTTGCTAAAAATTAGAATGTCATCTAGATACACTACTACAAACCTATCTAACCACGGCCTAAACAGGTCATTCATACAACGCTCAAAAGTCGCTGGCGCGTTGGTTAGTCCAAAGGGCATGACTATAAACTCATAGTGCCCATACCTAGTCCGGAATGCGGTCTTATACTGATCATCAGGATGGACCTCTATCTGATGATATCCGGACTTCAAGTCTATCTTCGAAAAGTACTTTCATCCCTGCACCCCGTCTAACAGATCATCTATACGGGGCAACGACTCTGCATTCTTCACCGTGATAGCATTAAAACCCCTATAGTCTATACACATTCTGAGCTCTCCCTCCTTCTTGGGGACAAATAGAACAGGTGCTCCGAATGGAGACGAACTGGGCCTAATCCAACCCTTTTCCAGGAGCTCGTCTAACTGCTTGCGTAGCTCCTCCAACTCCCGCGGGGACATTCTATACACCGCTCCTTTGGGAGTTCTACTGCCAGGCTCAATCTCAATGCGGTGTTGGATGGGCCATGGTACTACTCCTGTCGGCGGCTCAACTAAATCCTTAAACTCTTCCAGCAGCTTGGCAATAGCCGGGTCAATGGGCTTCTCCTCCTTAGGCTCAGTGACAGGCTTGACGTAGACTACGAAGACCTGTTCCTTTAATTTCTCCTTCTTTACCAATCGGGCAAACGCAGGAGCACTGAGGCAGCAATGTGCCAGGGTGTTATCTACACCTGACGCATGGAACAGACGGGCAATCTTAACCTCGCCTGACGGTCTAGGGAGCCTACACTCATGCTCTCTCAAGTGGAGTGTGGCCCCTGCTGCCTCTCCCCAGTCCATACCTAAGACTATATCAAAAGGAAGGTCATCCTGTACGAGGAGAGTCAAGGAATGGAGAACTTTCTCCATTTTCCCATCTTTCTCTAGGCGGAAATATGCCTGGACTCCCTCTACGTAGTCCTCAACACGCATAGTGCGGTTGTCTGCGAGGACACTTACTATGGGGTCTTCTAATTTTTGGACTTTCAAGTTTAGCCTCAGCTTCTTTAGCGCTCTACGACTAATATAACTACGGGTAGCCCCTGAATCTATAAAGGCTCCTACTCTGCTTCTGAAAACTTCTACATCTACTAACACTTGTTGTCCTTTACTCTCTTTTTTCATCTTGGCCCAGACGGGCATTCTCTCCTTCAATTCATCAGCCACGCCTGTGAGGGAGGTGCCTAGCGAGACTCTAACACAAGCAGTCTTTGGACAGCTACCTAGGCACCGGCCTGCAACCTCTGCCATAGGCTCATGTGGTGTGGGAGTTTCTTGCCGGGTCGCGCTCGTTTCCCCACATGGCCTTATAGTAGGGGCAGTTGCAACCCCTACCGGTGGCTGCCTTTTGCCTGTTGGGCAGCCCATCGGGCCTCTCTATACTTTGGACAATATCGAATGATGTGGCCAGGGTCACCGCAAAAGACGCACTGCCCCTGATCCACATGCTGCGGCCAGACGCGCTGGTCTAGGCCCAAATCCTCCCAAGGTCGGCCCTGTGGCAGACCTGGGTGCCAACCACCTCTCCTATAGGGTGACCTATTACCCCCATTAGGTGAACGGTTGCCAAAACGGTTTTGCGGGGAACCTTGACCCCTTCCTCCCGCTTGGCGGTTTCCTCCTCTACCGCCAACCCCCTGATCGCCCTGGAAATGGCCACCTGAGGCCCGGCCCCCTTGGCCCTGGCCTCCTCTTCCTTGCGGCCTCCCTCCGGCCGCGACAGCAGCGTAAGTCCTCCCCTCGCTAGCGCTACCGTCCTCCTTCTCCTCCTCTAGCCCCCACTCTATCTGATCGTAGGGGACTTCCTCCACACTACCTTCATCTAACGTAAGGAGCAGACGGTCCTTGGTCTTGATCTGCCCAGAGATAGTGTGACCCTTCCACTTCTTCCCTTTGTCAAGGTCCTTGTGCCAGAAAGTGGAAACTGACATGGACCGTGCTTCAAAAGCTACCACTTCCCTGCTCAAAGCATCGTAAGTCATGGTAGGCTGCTGGCTCTTCTCAAAGAAGTGCCCACGTAACGATTCGTGCATAGCCCGATAGAAGAGGTTGACCAGTTGGGTCTCTGTGAACCCATGGTCAGGGACAGCCACTAACTCGTCCATTAACCCTTTGAGTGCCTTGGCACTCCTCCACTGACGAGAGTGGATAGTCTGCAATCGGTCAGAGGCTTTTACACTGCGAGAGACATCTGCGAATCGTTCGCGCAACAACTTAAGAAAGTCAGCGAGGGGAGTAAACGCAGAGTAGGCAACTACATCCTCGTTGCAATTTGCAGCGCGGACTAGGGATCGGGCAAAACTGGCGGCCTCCTCCTTTAGCGCGTGAATAGCGACTAGCACGTGCTCATCTGGGGAGACCTTTTGCAAGTGCACATAGGTCTTAATATTGGCCTCCCAGTTGTCAAAGTTCTCCTCCTTCTTTCCACTGTAGGCATCGGGGAACTTGACTTTGACAGGCTCCCTACGGGGTCGTGCTTCCTCCTCCTTGGGAGCAGTCAGTCTGGCGCCCTCTATGGCACCCGTACAATAGCGCTCTGTACTGTCTAGGCGGGCTGTCACTTCGGAGCCCACCTGTGTCACCAGTTCCCGTGCAAAGTCCCGGAGCCCCGATTGTATAGAGCGCACAGCAATGTCCTGACTTCTACCAAATAAAAGTTGCTCTTCCTGGACTCGTGTTAGGCGCTCTATACTCTTTGCCATAATCTCCATCTTCCCCAATAAGTCCACTTGCACCGCCATCTGATCCTTCTGTTTCTTTATCTCTTCTAACTCTATCGCCGCCTGACTTGCCGCCTCCATCCTTCTTTTCCTCTCCCTTGTCAGGCGAAACTTCCACTCCATCCTTTTTTCATCTTCCAACACCAGACGCTTAAGCGGATCTTCTTCAGCCTCCCATTCTTTTACGGCTGCCTCCTGTTCGTCCCTGGGCACATACATTAGGGCCTCGTCATCTTCTCCCAGTGATAGTCCCGCAACCCACTCTGTAATCTTCTCCTCCATCAAATCCTCTTTTGGGCCACTGGATTCTCCTCTTCCTCCTACCCTTCGCATTTCCAGTGGTTGTTCTTCTTCCTCTTCTTCTTCTTCTTCTACCGCCTTCAACTTCTCTTCTTCTTCTTTCTTCAACCTCTCCTTCTCTTTGGCCAATCTCTTCCTCTATCTTTTTCAACTTCGCCGCCTGCGCCTCCAACAAGGCCTTCTTCTTGGCCTCCTTATTCTCTCTCCTCTCTTTGAGGATGGCGGCGGCCTTTGATTCCTGCTCGGCCGTGTAGGGCGAGGTACTCGTCCCCATACGTGTGTCTACCCTACACGAAAACGTGTTCTAGAATCCCAGTGGGAAAATGAAATGCCAGAGGGTCCCCCAAAGGGAGAACCCCACAGGCAAGCCGTACGTGGGGTAGTCGTCCATGGTGTTCAGGTGCACGACAATGTCCCACTCCTCACCACGTAGACCTACCCAGACCACTGACTAACTAACTCTGTAAGGACCACATAATCTTCCCCTTCGTTCCAGCCAGATTACCACGACCGACGGAAGCTTTCGCAACCACAGTCCTTGCAATCCAAACCCAAATGCCCAGCACCTGCGGTCAAACCCACCTGGCTTTCACTTCGGTTCAGACCCTGTCAACTAGGGGCACTAGCCTAGACTCTAACTACAACCGTCACTACAGAACCTGTTGCTGATCAGGAGGCATTTAAGGAGATCCCCCGTAACTCCTCAAGAATTCTTTAACGTTGTAGACAGGATGACGCGATCAGCAGGTTCTCTCAAGACTTAGACGGCCCGTTGTGCAGCCCACAGCTCGGATTTTAGGCCTACCGTGCCACACCGAGCAGCCTGCCGGTCAGTACCGGTCCTTGGGAGGGTTCGTGTCCTCGGGGACAGTCGAGTCGTCAGACAGTCTTTAGCCCTACTCAGCCCGTGCGGGTTTGGTCAACGAGGCCCTATCCTTCATACACGGAGTCCTATCACCTGGACAGAAGACACTCAATGTAGAAAGAAGAGACAGACAGACTCAGACTCGGCAAGTACCATAGGGTGAGTGCACATCCATAGGGCGAGGGGATAGGCTGAGGGCTCGGCGAGATTATACCAGCTCCAACTTGGTCAAAATTGTGGTCAGCAGCTCCAGTCAACGCCTTGGTCAACACTTGGTCAACGTGGTCAATCCCCGGTCAACGCTCCTGTCAACCCTCTGGTCAATGCCCGATCAACCCTCGGATCGGCTATGGCTGCCGGAACATTCTTCCTCGCCAATCTCCCTTCTCTTTCTCCTCCTTCACCCTTCTTCTTTCTCGCTGTTTCCTTTTTTTTTTTTTTGTACATCCCCGACTATGTCTGTCTTCACCTTCGTTTTCCCTTCTTCCTCCTTCCTGCTTCTCTCTCCTTCTTCCTCCGTGTTCTGAGCTCTGCGGCTATGGCCGCTACTTCTTCTTGGACCGCACAACCAATCTTCAGCACAGCAGGTACGTGGTAACCAATCTTGTATCGCTCAGCCCCTCTCTCTCTCTCTCTCTCTCTCTCTNCTCTCTCTCTCTCTCTCTCTCTCTCTCTCTCTCTCTCTCTCTCTCTCTCTCTCTCTCTCTCTCTCTCTCTCCGTCGTTGTCCTCTTGTGCAGGTACGCGTCACTCTCTTCCGCAGCCCAGCTATGGCGGACTTCTTCTTCAAGGGTGGCGCACTTCAGCTATGGCGCYCACGCGTCTCCCTCCTGCTACAACGGCGAWGCGCATGGAGTAGCGGGTACCAGCTCCGATACCAGTGCAATCAGACTCGCATACTTCGTCACTTCACATGCATACAAACAGATGGTGAATCACTCTGGCGCATAGCGCCCAACTCAAAGCTCGAAGATATGGATACCAAGACACAGTTTAGATGTAAGCTCGCTTCAACAGGCTATGGTGCATCAGCACCCACACATYGMAACTCTTGTCACTGTGTCCAACACCACTGTTCGCTTCACACTTCAAYTCCGGATCACCCTGGATACCCCACGCACACACAMTGTACACCCACTACACTAACAGCTATGGCAGCTATGGCCRCCACTAACACTACCCTACAAGCAGCTATGGCTGCGCTAACTCCTCCAGCCCACTTCGACTTCAGGCTCCTCTGCAGACCACCTYGCACAAGTYACCGTGGCAGCGCTTCCGCATGGCTTCCGCAGGAATGAATGAATGGCTGGGCGCTGCCTCTTGATTTAYACTTCTGCAGCTCGTTGGTCTGGCCCATTTCCCTTGCCCGAAGTGCACACAGTCCCATGCGGTACTTGCTTGACTGACTGGAGACTGGGACTGTTGACTCAGCACGGTAGACTTCCACCACTTGCCCACTTGCCTCACCACTTGACCACTTGCCTCTGCCTAAACGTGGGCAACTAYGAAAGGCCACTACTAGGACCTTCCGRAAGGCCGTAAGCTTGGCCTTTCGTGACTGTAGCAGCTACGACCCTGACCCTTCTGGACTGTAGCAGCTACGACCTTGACCTTTCGAGAATACTACAGCTACGACCACTAGACCTGACTATGACTCCTATCCGACAGGTCTACAGCTCGAACCCATGCTACCTACGGACCCTATGACAACCTATCGACTGTTAGACATACACAGGTCATGGGTTCAACTGTACGGGACTTCACCGGTACTGTACGCAGGTAAGGTTGGGGCCTAGGGATCGAACCCTGGGATCTGCAGCAGCTACTGCTAACTGGTGAATACCATTTCACTAGGCCTACTGGTTAGTTGAAAAACCTGCACCCAGCTTTCCTCCCAATGGCCTCACGGCAGCCTTCACTTAGGGACGGGCGTGAATTTTTTAGGCAGCCCCCAGTGACAGCCTGCTGAGGCCCGGAGCATCGCAAAACGAACAAAAGAACACAAAAAGAAGGAATGAAAGCATGAATGAATGAACAAAAGAAAGACAGAACAATTGAAAGAAAAATAGAAAGAAGGAATGAATCAAATCAATGCATAAATGAATGAACGAACGGTAGAGAAGAAAGGAAAGAAAGAAATTTAAAACGACAACGAAAAAAGAAATAACGAATGATCAAAAGAAACAATGGAACAATGAAAGAAAGAGCGAAAGGGAAAAAAAAAGGAAAAACGAAAGAGAGAAAGAAGAAGGACAAAACAGATTTCTTTCCCGAAAGAAAGAAATTTGAAACGACAACGAAAAAGAAAGAACGAATGAGCGAAAGAAACAATGGAATAATGAAAGAAAGAGCAAAAGGGGGAAAAAAAAAAAACAAAAAAAAAAAAACGAAACAGAGAAAGACAAAGGACAAAACAGATTTCTTTCCCATTTCTTTCTTTCGCCCTTTCTTTTTTTTTGTTCTTTCTTTCATTCTTTTCTTTCTTTCTTCCTGTCTTTGTTTCTTTCTTTGACAACCAGGAAGAAATTACTAATTAGGGAAAAAAATACACAATGGATTTACGGCGGGCGGAAAATAGGTGGGCAATTTCAAATGCAAGTTCACTCAGGATGTCAGGTACAAAAGGCAAGATTAGGACCTGTCTATCCGTGGAAGTGGAAAGCAACCAATGAGGCTATAGGAGATAGATAAACAGTTGGATTCCTGGAGTATCCCGGCTCATACGGGAGCTTGAATATAACTTGCATGAGCAGCAAGACCAATCTCCAATTGTGTGCTCTTTAATGCATTATTAATTCATTACAAAAAGAAGTTTAAAGGAACAAAACCATGCCCCAACTTGCCTTGCTTTACTCCAGTGGTTGTACCTTGTCAAGCACAGGAAGTACTCTCTCATCATCATTGTCACAGCATTGTAAATTAATGTCCAACAAACCGGATTTGCAACAAGTCCCCATTCCGACAGCTCCAGCGCAACCCTTCGCATAGTCACATTCTTTTCCCCTATATCCAAAAGAACACTTACAGGAGTGCCCCTGCATCCAGTAAACACAGGTTAATGAAAAAAGGAGAACGCTAGTTTGATCCTAGAACCTAGGCTACCGGAGTGGCCCGGGACCACTTGCCCGGCCGGGGAAAAAAAAAAAAAAAAAACACAATTATTTAAAATTTGGTAAGGAATTTCGATGTGACCCGGAGGCAAAAGTTGTTCGGTTTAGTTTTCTGCATAACAGAGTTTTCTTTTTTTTTTTTCTTTTTTTTTTTTTTGCTGGTCCTTGCATGGCCGGGCCGCCTGGGAAAACAGGGTGACCAGGGCGACCCGGCTGGTAGCCTAGTCTAGAACAATGATGATTTGAAACTGATTGAGAAAATGCTGAAGACACGAGAATGCAGTGAATGGCAGCAGTGACAAAGAAATTGGGTCCGAAAAGTCGACGAAGAAATCAAGGGTGCACAAAAAATTGCACACAGAACAGGACAAAGTCAGTTCCACGGAGGGCACAACAGTTCATATAAAGATAAAACTTTACACAATGTCTCTGCACGTCAAGCACCCTCTTCAACATACTACGCAAACCCTTTGCAATCAGACTCGCTTCCTTTTCCGCTTTGCACTCATGCAAACAGATGGTGAGTCACACTGGCACACAGCGCCCACTCAAAACTCAGAGATATGAGTCGAAAGACAGTTCAGATACAACCTCGCTTCAACATGCTATGGCGCATCAGCGCCTGTACATCCCAACTCTCGTCTCTCTGTTCAACACCACTGTTCACACTCACTCACTCTGGATCACCCTGGATATCCCACATGCATACACACTCACACTACAACTAACACTAGCTATGGCCGCCGTGCCAGCCGGCTACTACTAACTATGGCACACTATCCTCCCCATGGCCCACTTCCACTTCGGGCGACTGCAGACCACCTTGCACAAGTCCCTGTGGCAGCGCTTCCGCATGGCTTGCGCAGCAATGAATGAATGGCTGGACGCTGCCTCTTGATTTATACTTCTGTTCGCTGCTGGTCTGCCCTTTTTCCACCGGGCCCCTAGTGCACACAGTCCCATATGGTACTTGCTGACTGGACTAAGTGAGGCTGGGACTGGGTACCGCTGACTCAGCAAGGGTGGATTTCACCACTTGCCCACTTGCCTCCAGTCTGCTCTGAGCAACGTTGAAAGGCCACTTCCGGACCTTCCGGAAGTCTGGGGACTTGGCCCTTCGGCACTGTAGCAGCTACAACCTTGACCTTTCAGGACTGTAGCAGCTACGACCTTGACCTTTCAGAACCACTACAGCTACAACCTCTGCTACAAACTGGACCCCTACGCGACAGACCTACGGTTCAAGACCCGATGGACACACTGGCCCACGACAGACAACAACTGACTCCTAAGACACAGGTTACGGGTTCAAACACACAGGGGTACTGTACACAGGGGAGCGAGGTCTAGGGATCGAGCCCTGGGATCTGCATCCGCTACTGAGAAGGTGAAAACCGTTTCACTCCCGCCGGCCTAAATTTGAGGTCCTCCGAGAATAGTTCAGTCCAAGACCTGACTTTTACCTTTCTTATCTCTCTCGTAGGCCCTAACTATGTCGGGAGCTGTTTCTAGAAGTTCAGTTCTGGTAAACCAGCGTTCGTCCTCTGGTTTCTGATAAGCAAATCGGACCTTGTACTGTTTCTGTGGACGACCTCTACCTCCGGTTCTAAACACGTCTTCACCTACAATGCCGTCAATGTCATACCTTCCATCCATGTCCGGAGGGATCATGGATCTTCTCGAGGGAAACTGTTGACTTGTGACACACGGATGCAACTTTGATGCATGAAACACGGGGTAGGTGTAGAGGTGTGCTGGGATCTCTATCGTATAGGACAGTCCATCCTCTCCGCCCTTGACTTCTAGAACTGGCCACGGTCCTCTATATGCTGGCAGTAACTTCTGCGAAATGTTTTCCTCAGGAGCAAACTCTTTAGACTTGACCCAGACTAGGTCGCCTACTTGAAACTATGATGGGCGACGGTGCTTGTTAGCCCGTTCTATCATTCTGTGCTGGGCCTTCCTAAGGTTGTCAACAACGGTAGCTAATTCCTTCTCGTGCTGAATCGCAAACTCCCTAGTACTGGGTGGTAGCCTCTGAATCTGGTCCCGGTTAAGTCCTTCAAATGGTCTGTGTGGTCTAAAGGACTTACGCAGCTCATTGGGAGTACGACAAGTGGCTAGGTGCACGCTGTTGTTATATGCACTGGCTACCTTGGGCAGCATCTCATCCCAGTTGATTTTTGATCTGGTCTAATATACATGCGCAAAACTTGTTGCAGGATTTTATTCATCTGCTCAGTCTGACCGTTAGTCTCTGGGTGACAACCAGACGACATTAACAACTTTGACCCGTATACTCTCATTAACTCCTGCCAGTTCTGACTTGTAAACCGGGTATCCCTATCACTGACTATGGACAATGGGATTCCGTGTTCACTAACCCAAAAGTAAAAAAACTTCTGAATTACTAACTTTGTACGGGCTTCTGCGGGTAAGGGAACAAAAACAACATATTTGCTAAATCTATCAACAATCACCATGACTTGGCTCTGTCCATGTCTACTTTTGACACTAGCATCCATGAAATCAATGGATACTGAATCTCCAGGCTGGTCAGGAATAGGCAAGGGTCAAAGAAGACCTAGAGGGGCACGCGTACTTGTCTTATTTCTTTGACAAAATTTGCAACTGCGAACGTACTCTATGCAGTCGGCTTTCATTCCTGGCCAAGTATACGCATGCATCAGATTGACTAGAGTCTTTTGCCAACCGAAATGTCCTTCTGTGTCGTGGCATTCCCCTAAGATCAAACTACGGATCTCTTCGTTATTAGGAACGCATGGACGGTCTACCACATTGGTCTTCTCGAGCAGTAATCCCTCTGTAGTGCGGTAATCTGGTTCAGTCTTTGGGGCCTCCTTAACTTTCTTGAGAAGGTCACTATAAATAGGGTCCTGCGCATACGCCTGTCTTACTTTCTCTTGTAGGTCTCTCCCTATATCCAGATACTGAACTATAGCTCCAAAGTAATCTCATTCCTACTTAGAGCATCTGCAACTACATTATACTTGCCTTTGACTGGTTTGATTTATCTCAGCGGCCCACCTAATTAGCTTAGGTGTCATCTTGGCCCGCGTTTTCAACCACCTAAGGGTCTCGTGGTCTGAATAAACTTTGAAGTGTCTCCCAAGCAGATGCTTCCAGTGCTCTAAAGCCTGCCTGAGACCGTAGAGTTCTCTCTCGTAAGTCGAGGTAGCTACTTTATCTGACGGCATCCTCGCTGACATGAACTCCACGGGTCTATAGCCATTGTCGTCGTCCTGCTGCAACACGGCGCCTATACCATACTGACTTGCGTCCGTGGTGACCACAAATGGCAAGGACGAATCTGCCACTTTGAGGACAGGGTACTCTATCAACGCTCGCTTTAACTTCTTAAGAGCGGATGTACAATCTTTGTCCCACTTCCAAATTGCATCCTTCTTGAGCAACCTGCGGAGGGGAGCGGCGATAGCGGAGAAGTTTCTCGCAAACTTCCTATAATAGTTAGCTAGGCCTAAGAACGACCGCAATTCTGTCATCGTGCGGGGCGTCCGCCAACCTCTAATCGCCGCTATCTTACTATCCTCAAGCTTAATTCCATCTCCGTCTAGGACGTGGCCCAAATAGAAGACTTGTGTCTTGGCCCACTCGCACTTCTTCGCATTGATCTTGAAGTTAGTCTCTCTCAACTTCCCCAAGACCTGCCTCAAATGACCCTGATGCTCTTGGAGGGTCCTATAATAGTTAGCTAGGCCTAAGAACGACCGCAATTTTGTCATCGTGCGGGGCGTCGGCCAACCTCTAACTATCCTCAGGCTTAATTCCATCTCCGTCTAGGACGTGGCCCAAGTACAAGACTTGTGTCTTGGCCCACTCGCACTTCTTCGCATTGATCTTGAAGTTAATCTCTCTCAACTTCCCCAAGACCTGCCTCAAATGACCCTGACGCTCTTGGAGGGTCCTACTGAAAACTAATATGTCGTCTAAGTAAACTACGACGAATCTATCTAACCATGGCCTGAACACATCATTCATACAGCGTTGGAATGTGGTTGGCGCATTGGTTAGTCCAAAGGGCATCACGATGAACTCATAATGCCCATATCTAGTCTGGAAAGCAGTCTTATACTGGTCGTCAGGATGAACTTCTATTTGATGATATCCAGACTTCAAAGCAAATTTTGAGAAATACCTACAGCCCTGCACTTGATCCAAGAGATCGTCTATCCTAGACAGCGGCTCAACATTCTTCACTGTAATTGCATTCAGACCCCTATAATCGATACACATATGCAACTCTCCCTCCTTTCAAAACTGGTGCTTCGAAAGGAGATGAACTGGGCCTAATCCAACCCTTTTCGAGGAGTTCGTCTAGTTGCTTACGCAACTCCTCTAACTCCCTTGGGGACATCCTGTAAACCACACCCTTAGGAGTTCTAATGCCAGGCTCTATTTCGATTCGATGCTAGATTGGTCGCGGTACTACTCCTGTTGGCGGCTCTGCCAAATCTTTGAACTCATCCAGCAGCTTGGCAATGGCTGGGTCTATTGGCTTCTCTTCAGTAGGCTCAGTGACAGGCCTCACGTAAGCTACGAAGACCTGCTCTTCTAACTGCTCCTTCCTTACTAATCGCGCGCACGCGCGAGCGTCGAGACAGCAATGTGCCAAAGAGTTATCCACTCCTGACACATGAAACAGGCGAGCAGTCTTAACTTCGCCTGATGGACTAGGAAGCCGACACTCATGCTCTCTCATGGAGTGTGGCCCCTGCTGCCTCTCCCCAGTCCATACCTAGGACTATATCGGAAGGGAGGTTGTCCTCTACGAGGAAAGTCAGGGAATGGAGGACTTTCTCCACCTTGCCATCTTCTCCAGGCAAAGATACGCCTCCCTCGACGTAATCCTCAACACGCATCGTGCGGTTGTTTGCGAAGATACTGACTATGGGGTCTTCCAACTTATGGACTTTAAGACCTAGCCTCAACTTCTTTAGCGCTTTTCGGCTAATATAGCTACGGGTAGCCCCTGTGTCTATATGGACCCCTACTCTACTTCTAAAAACTTCTACGTCTACTAACACAAGTTGTCCTTTGCTCTCCTTCTTCATCTTGGCCCAGGCCGACATCCTCTCCTTCAATTCTTCTGCCAGACCTGCAAGGGAGGTGCCTAGAAAGACTCTAACACAGGCAATCTCTGGACAGCTAACCAGGCACTGGCCTGCAACCTCTGCCATAGGCTCATGTGGTGTGGGAGTTTCCTGGTGATGCGCGCACACTTCCCCACATGGCCTAAGGGTAAGGGCAATTGCAACCCCTACCGGTGGCTGCCTTTTGACCCCTGGGCAGCAAATCGGGCTTCCCTATACTTTGGACAATATTTAATAATATGGGCAGGGTCACCACAATAGATGCACTGCCCCTGCTCCATTCACTGCTGCCATACTCTCTGGTCCAAGCCCAGATCTTCCTAAGGCCGGCCTTGTGGCCAACCTGGGTGCCAACCTCCTTTCCGTTGGGGTGATCCTCCACCTCTACACTGTGGTGATCGACTAGGCCCTGAACGATTCGGAGGGGTACCTTGACCCCTACCTCCCTCTTGGCGGTTCCTTTGGCCGCCAACCCCCTGTGCGCCCGGACCTCGACCACCCATGGCCCGGCCCCCTTGGCCCTGGCCTCCTCCTCTACCGTGCGGCCTCCCTCCAGCCGCGACAACAGCATAGGTCCTCCCATGACCTACGCTACTGTCTTCCTCCTCAAGCCCCCATTCTATCTGACTGTAGGGGACTTCATCGGTACCACCCTCGTCTAAAGTAAGGATCAGGTGATCCTTTGCCCTGACCTGACCCGAGATGGTACGATCTTTCCACTTTTTCCCCTTATCTAAATCCTTATGCCAAAAAGTGGACATTGGCATGGATTTGGCCTCAAACAGGACCACCTCTCTACTCAACGCGTCATACGTGGTGGTGGCGTGTTAGGTCTTCTCAAAGAAATGCCCTCGTAAGGGCTCTGGCATGGCACGATAGAATAAATTAACTAACTGGGTCTCAGTGACCCCGTGGTCTGGGATGGTTACTAAATCATCCATGATTGCCTTGAGTGCCCTTGCACTCTTCCACTGCCGCGAGTGGATTGTTTGCAGTTTATCAGAGGCCCTAACGCCTCGTGTGACGTCTGCGAATCTCTCCCTGAGGAGTTTAAGGAATTTGTGAAGAGGGGTGAGTTTAGAATACGCAACCATATTGTGTTCACAATCGGCTGCTCGCGCGAGGGACCTGGCAAAACTAGCCACTTCGTCCTCAAAAGCATGGAAGGCTACGAGGACTTGTTCCTCGGGCACAATGTGTTGCAGATACACGTAAGTGTTAATACTAGCCTCCCAATTATCAAAGTTCTCCTCCTTCTTCCCGCCATAAGAGTCAGGAAACTTAAGCTTAACAGACTCTTTTCGGGGACGCCTTTCAATCTCTGCAGCGGCCACTACTTTGGCGCCTTCGATGGCGCTGGCGCATAATTTCTTTGCGCCCTCCTTTAACTTTCTAACCTCAGTCCCTACATGTGTCATTATATCCCGTGCGAATTTTCTGAAACCGGACCGGATGGAGTGGAGGGCCATGTCTTGGCCCCTAATAGACTGACGGTGTTCAGTCCAGGCCCTACCTAGGAGCTCGATGCTCCCAATGATCTTATCCAATTTGGCCTGAATATCCGGTTGGGCCTCTATTTCCTGTCTACAGGTTTGTAAACTTTCCACTTCTCTAGCCACCCGGTTGGCTTCCTCCGTCCTCCTCTTCTTCTCTCTGGCCAGGCGCAACTTCCAGTCCAACTTCTTCTCATTTTCTATTGCCTGGCGCTGTAGGGGATCACTCGTTGCTTCGATCTCCCTAATCGTTGCTTCCTTCTCCTCCTGGGGTATATATAGCATCGCCTCCTCATCTTCTCCTAACGATAATTTAGCCACCCACTCAGATATCCTCTTTCTACCCACGGGTCATCTTCCTTCGTGCCACTACTCTCTCCTCTTCCCCCCATTCTTCTTCTTATCAGGTGCTCTTCTTCTGGCTGCTCCTCTTCTTCAATCTCTTCCTCTACTGCAACCTTCATCCTCTCTTCCTCCTCTTGATGCAACCTCTTCATCTCCTCCTCTAATTTCTTTTTCTTCGTTGTCTGCTCCCCTGCTATCATCTTCATCGTCGCCTGTCTAATAATCTCCTTCTTCTCCTTTCTCTCTCTTAAGATGGCGGCGGTTTGCTCCTCTTGAGCCTTGCTATAGGGCATGGTGCTCTTCCCACTACGAGTGTCAACCATGGTGATAGGTGCACAACCGGACAACAATTCCAGACCTCACCACTTAGACCTCGGCACCTGACTGACTGGACCAAAGACTCAATCTAAGAACCACAGAATCCAAGTAGGATCCTGTCAACTAGGGTCACTAGCCTAGACCTAAACTAGGGCTGTCACTACAGGACTTGTTGCTGATCAGGAGGCATTTAAGGAGATCCCCCGTAACTCCTAAGGAATTATTTAACGTCGCAGACAGGACGACGTGATCGGCAAGTCCTCTCAAGACTTAGACAGCCTGTTGTGCAGCCCACAACTCGGATTTTGGGCCTACCGTGCCACACCGAGCAGACCGCCGGTCAGTACCGGTCCTTGGGAGGGTTCGTGTCCTCCGGGTCAGTCGAGTCGTCAGACACGATCTTTAGCCCTACTCAGCCCGTGTGGGTTTGGTCAACAAGGCCCTATCCTTCCTACACGGAGTTCCTACCATCTGCAAACAAGAGACTCAATGCAGAAAGAAGAGACAGACAGACTCAGCAAGTACCATAGGGTGAATGATCATTCATAGGGCAAGGGGATAGGCTGAGGGCTTGGCGAGAGTATACCAACTCCAGCTTGGTCAAAGTCACGGTCAACAGCCCTGGTCAACGTCTGGTCAACGCTTGGTCAGCATTTGGTCAACGCTGGTCAACCCCCCGGTCAACGTTCTAGTCAACCTTGGTCAACGCCTTGGTCAACACCGGAGTCAACGCCCAACCAACTTTGGTCAACCTTCAACTCGGCTATGGTTGCCGCCTTCTTCTTCCTCACCACCCTTCTTCTTCTTTTTTTTTCCCTTCCTGTCTTCTTCCTTGTTTCTTTCTCTCCTCACCCTGGCTATGTCTTTCTTCCTCTTCGTCGTCTCTCCTTCCTCTTCCTCAACTATGGCTCCTTCTCACTTCTCGGTCTCTCCCCCCTTCTTTCTCCTTCGTCTTCCTCCATCCTTTACTCGTCTTCTTTCTTCTTCTCCGTGTCCGAGTTCCGCGGCTATGGCCGCCTTCTTCTTTCTTGGACCACACAACCAATCTTGTATCGCTCCTCTCTCTTTTTCCTTCTCTCTCTCTCTCTCTCTCTCTCTCTCTCTCTCTCTCTCTCTCTCTCTCTCTCTCTCT